CTATTGGTCAATGCCGGCCTGCGTCATTCTGACGAGCCAAGCGCCTCTTCTGCGCAGGCGTGAACCGCCGTCACCGGCGGACTCACATCCGGGATTCATGCAGGGCATGAAGAACCCGGAAATAATGGCGCGTGACATCTCCCCCTTCCTTAAAATAACTAGAGCTCAGGAGGAGCCTGTCAACCACCCCGGCCGGAAGGTGGTCGAAGCAGGTATTCCATGTGAGCAACTGTTGGATCACCTTAGCTCGTGCAATGAGGAGAACCTCTGAGCGGTGCAAAGGCTGATCAACAAGATTGTAAAAAGACATGCCTGATTCTGGTGCAATGGACTAATCCACAGAGTGCAGAGGCCATGTCCAAGGAGGTAGAGAGATGCAGATATTTATGGCTCCCGAATGAGCAAGGCATAGGCAGATAATGACCAACGTTCAAGCTATTGTAAATTGGCCAACCAAACAGCAGGCGAGTATCCGGCTTCAAGGGCAGCAAAAGCTTGCATCAACATGATATTATCATTTTGTCTCTGTCGTCTCAGCTTACATAACCACCAAAATCCCAAAAACACTGCCAAAGCCAACAAAGCAATCATTGATCCCATTCCAGCCCACTCCTTCAGAATAGATACAGCACTTGCAATCCAATCAGATATACCTTGTGCAAAAACAATGTCTACTCGGGTAGAATTAACATGAGCAATGGCTACTCTCAATTGTCTAACCAAGTGATCAAAACGTCCCGTCCAATTTGATGTCAAATACATAGAGAGTTCCCTAGATAGATTCGCAGCTTTTGACATATTATGATATTGTACAGGTGTAACACAGAGTCCTGGCATCCTCCACATACATCCTATTTGGGCCAATTGCCATAACACATCAAGTTGCTCTTGCACTAAATCAACCCTTTGATTAACAATCATTAACCCTCCCTTCAAATGGGCATTAACAGAGGTTTGCATATCGAGCGCAGAGGCTACATTGGCTGACAAATTATTCAAAGCGGTTGCGGTTTGTACTGACGTGGAAAGAGAGACGGCGGCTGCGGTCGCACCAGCGGCTGCAATAGTTATCGCCGATACTATTGCTGCCGTAATCCCAAAGTCTCTCTTAGATCTTACAATACTCAAGGGATTCGTCACTTCCGTTGGCACAGGAATGAATCGAGGCATTCGAACGACCACAGCATGAGGAAATTTGGTAGCGTCCCAGCAGGATGCGTACCAACAAGTATCATTGGCACAATTCAGTTCCATAGTCTGTGAGAGAGTCACATTAGCCACAAGCCAAAGAAATGGTGGCCACACGCAAACTGGAGTGGGTGCGAAGGTGATGTTGCGCAGACCATTGAAGTGTTGTGGTGATGTTGATGGTCCTGTTGTTGGTGGTGAAAAGAACTAACCATAAGTAGGTGGAGCAGAAGAGAAGAGAGAATACCTGGACCAAAGGGTTATTGTCATAAACAATATGCTGGAAAACCTGCATGGTCAAACAATATAAATACATTTTGTATACCAGAAAAATAGCAATAATAATTATAATGAATTCTTATATCCTGTAATGTGGCTTTGTATCAACAGGATCTTCCCCCCCCTTTTTTTTTTAACAGAAAATAACCATCAGAAACATATTTATAATTCAGACCTTTGATAACCAACAATATTCCCAACAACATATTTAACAAGATGTATCTTTTTATAAGGCTATAAAAAATTATTTTGGTGGCTCCCATTAGTGAACAAAGATCAGAATAAACTTTCTGAGCAGCTGCTTCTTTATTCACCAACAGGAGCATATCCAAACTTGAAGGTTGTATTTAAATATCTTTTAAATTTTTTATTTGATCCTATAAAGCCAGGTTGTAGAAATCAACAATCTACTTGCATTTGACGTCATTCTGATCAAGAACATACAAACATCTTTGAACATTTAAGACAGACAAACATATAACACTTAAGACAGACAAACATATAAGACAATTTTAACGAGTGCACTCAGATGGTTTTGGCCAATTGAATTATCTTACTACTTCCTCTTTTTCGGGCGGCTCCCCTGAGGACTCCGACGCGGTCTCGGAGTCCTCCGAGGAGCCCTCCGAATTACTTTCCTTTTCTGCTAATGTTAATCTTTTTAGTTCATCTAGGGCAGGGTAGAGGCCCGTTGAGGCCTCAATAGGGCCGGAAATTTGGCTCCCTTCTTCTTGAGCTCCCGTTGTTCTCCGTTTTTGTCTAGACTTACTTCTTTCTTCCCTCTCCGTTTCTGATACACTGTCTTGATGCTCCCTGAACAATTTTTGTCCCTCCCGCACCTTATCATTGCAGCGCTTATCCTCCAAACAGGCTCTAATCATCTTCCACACTGGTAAAACCCCCGATCTTAAGGTATTCTTATCTTTCTCTCGCTGGAGGTCTTTTCCTAATTTTTCCCAGGATGGGATCGTGAGTGACCCGGTACCGCTGAACCAGGGCGCCGCTCGATCCACTTCCTTTAGAAACCTTCTTAAAATTTTCTCCGATATTTTTAACTCCCTTTCCTTCAAAAGGCTTTGTAAAGCATAGACCAGTGATTGTGAAGTTGAATTGCCCATTTCTCCCTTGTCTACGAAAGTGGGCTTAAACCTGTTGGAGTAAACAAATTAAAACACCCGCCCACACCAGACAGCGTACCTCTCGGAAAGTTGGTGGATCCTCCCCTCCTGCTGCTCAGTTCTGAATCCTCCTGAAGTCAGGGGTCTCCGCTGATGCCGGCGATGATGGTCGTCGCTTCCCAGGTTTCGGCACCACTTGTCACGCGCACCTCGCCAGCAAGGAGCACGCAACACTCAGGATTCTTCTGAAGCACGCTTTATTGGAGGTTCTTCTGCATTCTTCAAGATGGCGGAAAGACCCCGAGCCGGATGCGAGCCTGCCTTTTATAGCCTCTCGGGTGACGTGGCCCATTTCTATTGGTCAATGCCGGCCTGCGTCATTCTGACGAGCCAAGCGCCTCCTCTGCGCAGGCGCGAACCGCCGTCACCAGCGGACTCACATCCGGGATTCATGCAGGGCATGAAGAGCCTGGAAACAATGGCGCGTGACACATGAAAGGTAAATAAACCTTTTGCGCTGATTTTGGACATCACGGTGGCCATGACAGTGCAACTGAAGATACTCATATCTACTTTTTCAGTCAACTTAGTATAAAACATACAATTTTTCCTTGGTATTTGAGTCAGCATTTCTTATAGCTCCCATATTACATAAAACTTTGGGTAAATAAGGTTTTCATGCTTATCTCTTGTTAATCTTATTTTTTTGTTATGTGAATGTTAAAATGTTAACCATAAACCTTGGAATGAGCAAGGAAAAACGCTGCCTTTTTCTCCCTACATAGCCACATGTCTAGACCTGTCATGTAGAGGTACAAGATCCCAACAATGAATGTAACTGTACTGTACCCCTAAAATGTACCAATAAACTCAATTAAAGCTGAAAAAAAAAAAGCCACATTTATAGCTAAGAGTTTTCCCTTGAGAGTCAAATGAAACTTTTGACTCACATTTTTGCAATGCTTGGGACTGTTAAGACTTTGGGGAAGAAGAGATTATTGTGTTCCAGTTGTATCATGTTGAGTGGAAAATTTACCTTGTGTTTATTTGGAGACTAAGTACTGTTTAAAGAGAGGAGTTTGAGTGTCAAGTTGACAAGGAAGGGGGAAAGCGGTAGTTAGTCTTAATGGTGACAACTTGATTGGCTTGGGAACCACATAGAAAATCAATAAAGCACACTTCTGGATGGGTTATGGAGGTGTGACTTTAGGTACTATAAATGGTCTTTGGCTCTTTTTTCTCTAGCAGTGCTTCCCCTAGCCAGTAGCCATGAACTAGCAGCTTTATCACCCTGCCCTTCAGCCATGATGCTCTTGCCTTGGATTGAGTGGATCAGTTGTGGATGTGAGGTAATTTGTCCCAGAAACAGGAAAGCTAATATACCCACACGAAGGTAAGCATTACAATGATTGTCTTAACTCACTGTTATTAATTATATCCAGTGATAGATAAAAATCTATTATTGATTTCTTTGCACACTATATAGCCCTAGCATTATAAGCAGTTCCTAACTCCCTCCCCTTTCCCTCTAAAGAAAACCAAGACCTCTTGATCAAATAATTATAGGACTCAAGCAGGAAACATGTCATAATTTAGTAAAAATATGATAGGAATTGAAGACATCACTGGTCTTTGCAGTGTAAGAACATAATACAGTATTTCTTCTTCATATTTCTATTCTAGAACACACACTCACACATACATGGGCACATGCCCCCTTTTTGGAGGAATAAAGTTGTGGTTTTTTTTTTTAATCTATAAATGCTACCTAAAATTTTCTGGGTCTAACACATAAAATTATACGACCACTCCCAAGTTTCCTAACCTGTTAAAGTTCATTTTATTCATTTATAGAAGAACAGTAGTAATGACATGATAGATATTCTTTTGACTTATTTAGATTCATCAAAAAAATCACTTGGCATAAGACCTGCCTCTAAGAATAGACAATAAATATTTGCTACTACCATTTTCTTTATTACTATCACTTTTTTTGTAATTCCTCCACGAATATTTATCATGACTAACTGCTAAGCTGTCTATTTCCTGCAGGATTCTGTAATTTTTTATGGGAAGAGATAGCAGTTTTTGTTTTCTATGCTCTGAAAACACTGTAAAAATATGTTTTGTTTGTTTCTCTATTCTCCATGTTGCACCGTTTCACAAAGAAGTTTCTGCCTCTGACATGATTGCTATGGATAAATTTGTTAGAATTAAAGAACTACTTCCTTGATTATTGTGTAATATGAGTTTGCTTAGGGAGAAACAACCATAAAAGGGTGTGACCATTCAAAGAACGTGTCCAAGTTTCTATTATACACTGAACTTTGACTTCATAATCTGTGTGATCCTTTGTGGATAAGCAGTTAAATTTTAACCTTGCTCTGCCAATCTGAAAAGGAAGTGAGCAATTCTAAACTTTAAACAGAAAGCAAAGAGGCGGGGTTGCAGCCCACTGACTACGGAAGCTTAGGCAAGCCTAGGAAGATTACTTTCTGCGCTTCTGAAGACAGAAGGCTAGAAATTACAGCATGGGAAGAAAGTCACTCTACTTCCTGGTTTTGGGGGTCCTTGTAGCATGTTACATTTACACTTCTCCACCAGATATTTTTGAGGAGCCCTGGAAACTAATGTTGATCAATGTACAACTGAAAACTTTTGTACATTTGGTGAGTCTGAAATTTATGATTCAGGTGTTCTTATGCAGTCATAGATTCTGAAGAAATGTTCCAGGATACTTGTGTTTTTTGTTTGTTTTACGTATCTTCTTAAAAGAAGTAGTATGCCTTTTGACCACTTAAAGTTTAGAAACATGACTTATTTGCTTGCTTGCTATGTCATATGTTGAAAACATGTTTATAAATATGAAATAACATAAGCTAGAGGTTATTTGAGTAGATTGTACTGAAATATTACTGTGTTTAGATAATATTAATGTTATGATGGTCGTTGTGCATTGAAATTTCTACCTTGTGGCTTGATTCGTTAGCATTTAGTTTCCCACCTAAGCCAGAGATTTTTGGGTTATGCAGTAAGGCATTAGATAGATATAACTTTTATGGAATCTCTTTTGGGATTCAACATGCAGAAAATGACATCTATATAATATTTCAAGGAAAAACTGCACCGTCAGAATGGTTGGCATCTGCCCTGGTTTAAGGTAAGAAAAATCAATAGACAAAACAGAAGGGCAGATCCTTCTGTGTTGTGGAAACTGACTGTTTTGTTTGTTCTCTTATGTAGGCAAACAAACAAAGGCCGCCTCTCTGGCACCTAGGGTCTATTTTGCTATTATTTGTTTCACTATTTCATTCACTTTATTTTTATAGTTCTGTTTTCAGAATTGAAACAAGGTGGTTGCTATAATTCCTCTTATTTTTCATTCTTTCAGTTCTTCAAATCTGTGCCAGATCCTATTAGGCAAACAGAATCTGTCTTCACAAAATTGATATTTTAGCGTGTGGAAAAATATTAAATTAAAATCAAATGAATGAATTGTTTCAGATTATAAAAATTGCCTTAAGGGAGATGAGACAGGGAAACTGAGTAATGTGAGCAAGTAATGAGGGCAGGGCTACTGTATTTATAATTAGCAAAACTCATTATGAATAGAAAGTTTATGCTTTGAGATCAGTGCATAATAAAACCAACCACTCTAAGGACTGATGAAACATTTTTTCAGTAACACAGCAACAAGCACATAATTCTTAACTACAAAATATGGACAAGTTGAAGAAATTGTATTAAACATTTGCAATTGACAGGATAGTGCTGCAATTTAATTTAGAGGAGTAAAATGTCATAGAATACAGTGCTTTGCCTCCATGGTAGTAAGTTTTAATTTAATTCTGTGTGTAATATTGAACTGTCAGAGAGTTAAGAAGTAGTGTTGTTTTTTTCATACTTGCTTAATTTTGTGCTTTTTATTTATTTATTTTTTTTGTGGGGGGGGGTGTACCTGGGATCAAACTCGGAATCTTGTTTTCTCAAGGTAAGAAGCAGCACCACTGATCTAAATCCCTGGCCCAACTTTCTCAATAATTGGGAAGAGTTCTTTCATTTTTTGTTCTTTGAATCTTACTCATTTTATTTAATATTATTTTTCATTTAATCAATCATGTACCTGTTTTTTGAACTTTTCTTCTCTGTTGTAGTCTTTTTAGCTTTGTTTTTTCCACTGCTATTGATGATTTATGAATATATTTTCAATGTTTGCAAGTGATATAATGTTAAAATGTAGATTAATATTGTTCTTCACTCCTGCAAACATTCTTTTTGTTTGCTGCAATTTTCTTGATTCTTCTGGGACTTCACGGAGAATAGCCCCTTCTGTCAATCATGGAATGTCTACTGACATATTTTATTGAAGATTTATGATTTGTGCTTACATTTATAAGACTTTGAAGACTTACATTTGTGCTATAAATAAAGCATTTCTGTGCTAGGCAATTATGCTATAAATTAATAATTCAACTGCAGAATCAATGGACTTAAAATATCATTTCCTAGCTGTGTATGTTTGAACTAATTACAGTATTTAATTTCCCTGGGCTTATTTTCTTCCTCTTTCAAACTGATGTGATAATATTATCTTTTTCACAGGTTAATAGGGTAATATCACTGAGGCTAATTCTCATAAAGTGTTCGGATCACTATATTGCTCTAAAGCAGAAGCATAGGCTACAGACAAGCAGGCTGTTCTTCCTTTTTCTCCATCCATTTCTTTATCCTCAATTGTGTCTCTTTATATGCATCAGCATTATTTCATAATTATTTTATTTTTATAATATTTTAATTGATGTGTGTTCACTAAATATAATCATTGTATTCAATTTGGGGAATTGGTACATATACATATTATTTCTTAATCCATTTTACTTCCCATTCCCATCCTGATTCTCCATTTTTTTGCATCTCCCAGTCCCCTTCTGTGCTACATGAAATCTAAAACTATTCCTCCTTGCATCAACAAGAGTACCCTAGCTGGGCGTGGTGGCTCACAGCTGTAATCCCATCACTCAGGAGGCTGAGGCAGGAGGATCGCTGTGAGTTTGAGACCAGCCTGGGCTGCACAGTGAGTTCCAGGGCAGTCTCAACTACATAGTGAGACCCTGTCTCAAAAAACCAAAACCAAAACCAAGCAAAAGAAAAAACAAACAAAAACAAAATCAAGAGCACCCTTATGTGCAGGATATACTATTTTATCTGCCTGGAATGGTTTTTCTTTTTCTTTTTTTATTTGATTAAATTCTTCTGAAAGGTCTTTTCTTTGGGGTTCTAATTGCAATGACCTGGGTCAAAATACTTGATTCAACATTCTATCACAACATTTACATTATTTTATAACAGTATATTTACTTGCCTTTCATTCTTAACTCTGAGGTTCTCAAGAAATACATTTACCTTGTTCATATATGCAACTCCAGAGCTTAGTATTGATCCTGTAACATTTTGTGGAATAGAACTAAATAATTTCGTTTCCTCCCTTTTAACAATCACTGTAGGCATACTTATTGCATTTCTTCTTCTAAAATGATAAAGGGATTTCATGTATGAGTTTGTTCTTTCTTTTGATGTAACTAAAAATTAAGTATTCATACCTTCATAAATTTCCTTGAATTTAGAATTTGAATTCTAGGGCTGTTTGTTAATTTTGTTTTTAGACCACATTTATAGAGTTTCTGGGACTTTACCATTTTGCTGATTTACTTGTGCTAACTGCGACCTTTGAAGAAGTCCCACCAAATTCAGATGAAAATGTCACTGTGACTGAGACAAAATTTGATAATGTTCCTGTCCGTGTATATGTGCCAAAGAGGAAGCTGGATGCACACAGAAGGGCTGTATTTTTTGTCCATGGAGGTGGCTGGTGTTCTGGAAGTCCTGGTAGGCAAATTTTTAAAAAATTTTTCTCACTGAAGTAGTTTGTGAATATTTTACCAAAGCTGTATCCAGTGCTCTTCGGCAAGGTCATTGCAGTTGTTTTTGTCTTCTCTTGCTTTGATCTCTGGCAAATTTTAATGTTTCTTGAACTTCTCATGAGTTACTTCTCACCCAACTATGACTTGCTTCATCAAGCCAGATAGTGCTGAGAAAACACAAGTCTTGCTATTATTAATTTAGGAAAGCACGAGTGCTGTTTCTATCATTTCTATTTTGTTGTATAGACCTCAGCGACATGTTAATTTATTTACATAATTACTGTGTGCCTACAATTTTTCCAAGACCACTGGAGGGGATTTGGAACTGACAAAATTCTTCTTGGGCCTTAAATTCTAATGAAGACAATATCTAAACAATTAATACATAAGTGAACAATCCAGTGTATCATAAGGGGACAACCCATAGAGAATAATAGGTGAGAGTATTCAAGATTGGGTAAAGGGTGCCAGTCCCTACGTGTATAGAATTATAGTCCAAAGAGGAATACCTCCAGAAGTGGGAATTTGGAATAAAGACTTTAGGCTCAGTCATAACTATGATGTATGACTTGACTAATACTAGTTGTAGATAACTCACTATTCACCAGTTTACTTCTAATTGATGAAGTATAAACCAAGAAGGAAATTGGAATGGCCCTAAATTGACAAATCCGAACACCAGAGGGCAAGCATAAATCGGCCGGAGAAGAAATGTCACAGGCCTGAAATGAATTGAAATGTGGCAAATGATTTGAGAAATTAGGAGAACAAAGTGAGGAGGGGGAAAAAAGACAGATGGGGATGAGATGATTGCCCTGTTGCTGATAGGATGACTGAGAAAGGGAAGGCAGATTCGGGGGGGGGCACAGAAGTAAATGTTATTTGGAAAAATAAACAATGAGCAAAGCATTAACAAGCGATCAAAGAGGCCATAAAATGGAAAGGAAGCCAAAGGTAAGAGTCTCACACAGAGAGGTTAATGAGAAGTATTGAATGGTGAGAAGACGTCCTGTAAGTAGAGCAGAAATACTTATCTTGAGGGGCTGGGCATTTAACTCAGTGGCACCGCTCCTGCCATGCAAGCACAAGGTCCTGAGTTTGATCCTTGGTACCAAGGTGGTAGAAAGAAAGAAATATCTTGGATGTTGAAGCTTTTATTTTCATGAGGCTGAGAATAAACTCTGAATATTGACTTAAAAAAAAACATACCAACCAGCAAAAATAAGAGATGAAGAAATCATTGGAACGATTTCTGAATTTAAACAGATTCATTGTAAAATGAATAAGTAAGAAAATGATAGATAAAAAAAGAGTTAAGTAAGGGTAGTTTATTTGTTTTTTTGTGGAAGAGATATAAAAAGTTAATAGAATTCCCTGGGGCAGTGAGGAAGAAGTGCAATTTTGAGTTCAGCTCGGGCAACTTAGCAACTTAGTGACACCCTGTCTCAAAGTAAAATAATTTTAAAAGGACTTGGATATGTCTCAGCACAAAGACTAGAGTCAATCTTCAATAACAAAAAATAAAGTGAATACAATTAAGAAAATGGATAGTAAACAGATTAATGGATAGTAAGCAATGAATAAATAACACAAAGAAATGGAGACAAGGAGAAAGATTTAGAGCACTTGTAAAATAATTAGATGTGGATGGAGGGGAAAAGCTTAAAAAAATGGATATAGTCTTCTTCCTAGATAAGAAAAAAGAGTGAAAAAGCAGATGTCAGTAGGATAGATACGACAGAAAATGAAAGAATTCCAGCTTTCCAAAGCAGCATTGTTCTATCCAACTGATTTTCAGATGATTTTTTGTCTTGCTCCATACAAATGCTGATGGTTGGTCTCCATTATCCAAAATCTGTTTATACCACTTTGGCCTCGTATCCATCCACACATGCATCAAGTCAGTGACTTATCTTCTTATCTGTTTATATCTATCATGTAAAACAACCAAATCAATATCACTTATAGTATGGGAGCTGGAATCAGTCTTCTGGAGAATGCTGATAGTTAAGAAGGACAAATGACAAAATATGCAGAGCAAAAAGTGTAAGGGAAGAAGAGCAATTAGGTTCAGCAAGAAGTCCCACTAAGTTGTAAATGAAGTTTTTCTTCGGATTAGTACAGCATTAATTTTTTTCTCCTGTCATTTTGGTATACAATAGGGAATGGGCGGAAAGTAAAATAAGCTCGGTTGATTTTTGTTAAGAAAAAATCCTTCCTTTCTTTTGTGCACTCTCACTAACATCTAGCTTTTATTCTTTTATTTAAGCTTTACGTAATTATGACCTGCTCTCAAGATGGACAGCAGAGAGACTTAATGCTGTCGTCATATCAATTGAGTAAGAGCTGTATTGTTTCATTTTGTGTTCAAATACCTAAACTACCAAGATTCTCTCCACTGTCCTAAGTGACTGATGCATAAATTTGCCAAAAAACAACTATTTCACAATCGACACTGAGGCAATTAAAAGAGATAGGTAGTTTCAACGTGGTAGCATTGAGAAAAACAGTGTGTGTGTGTGTGTGTGTGTGTGTGTGTGTGTGTGTGTGCTAGTGCGCATGTACCTACTGACATGCATGTCATTTGGGCAGGTAGGAAAAAGTGACCATAAAGTCATTTTTTGACATAAGCTTAAATGGAATCATCAGGAGACACACCTATTTGGTTTAGATGATCTTTCAACCATAATCTTCAACATTAAGCTTCCTGTAGTCAGAACATTATCTATAAAAGCACATTATAAATAATTGCTACATTTGATGGTCACTTTGAAAACAATAACATTCTTGAAACTGGTTTATCTTAGTGTCTAGCACTTCACATGATGGTCTAAAACACTAAATTTTATTGTCAAATTAAATAAAGTCAATGAGTGTAAAATAATGTGTTGGATCAATAGTTCATATTTGCAAAGAACACTGAGTTATGACAAAGAAACACTGGAGTTAATATGGTGGATTCATGCCATTTTTATGAAATGTCCAGTATAGTGAAATCCACAAAAGCAAAGATTAATGGGTACCTTAGGATGGAAATGGGTAAAATGAAAAGTAGGAAGTGTCTAGCTATTTAATTTAAATAGTAGAAACAGGAGGAAAAATGAAATAATGCATTCATAAGCATTAGTCTAGTTGAATCATTATATAAACACAATCATACTCAATATTGGTTTGTGATTCTCAGTATATAAAATAATTAGAATAAAATATTTTGAAAATAATTAGAAGAAGCTATGGCTGCACTGTGGCTCGTATTTCAACTTCACTTTTAAACATGGTTTATTTAATTATAAAATGTCAAATGAAATTGTAAGACATACACTTGTGTTTGATTCATTCAAATAACTAACAAATCTCAATAAGTTGAAAGACAAAATTTTACATTTTTGTGCAAGTTCTTGCCTTTCCTTTGAATACACACTTATTTTATCTATATTACAGGTAAATGAGAACTCTCAGACCAAAATGAGCAATTTTGTTTCTGCTATAGTTAAAATGACCATTGTGCACAGAGAATATTGCTAAACATCAAAAGTCGTTGGGAAAATTCAAATCAAAACTATTTCACACTTGCTAACTATAATTTTTAAAAAACATAGAAATACAAATTATGATGAGAAGAATCAAAAAATGGTCCTACCCATATCACTGGTGGGAATGTCAAATGACATAGACAGTCTGGAAAATTGTTTGGCTAGTCCTGAAAATGTTAAAAACAGAATTACCATATGACACAGTATTTCCAGTTCTAGGTGCTTACACAAGGCCTATTAAACTGTATCCATAAAATCTTTTGTATTTGGAGCAGCATTACTCATAAAATCTCTGAAGTGGAAACAACTCAATGTCCATCAACAGATGTATGGAAGAACAAAATATCATATATCCACAATATTGAATATTACTTGTTAGGAAAGAGAAATGCTACTACTAAAACATGGATAGATCTTGAAAATATTATGTTATGTGAAAGAAGCCTTTCAAAAAGGGCAGTGCATGGTGTGGTTCCATTTTCATGAAAAGTCTAGTATTGGAGATGCCAAGGAAGCAGATTGATGATTACATTAGTAATTGATGAAACAGAAAGTGAGAAATATTTGTCAGTGGGTATAGTGCTGATATATATATGTATACAGATTTTTAGTGGTAGAAATGTTTTCAAATTGTGGTGATTATTGTGAAACTTTCAAAAATATTAAAAACTCCTGAATTATATACCTTAAGTGAATTGTATGGTACATAAATTATAGCTCACTAAAGTTATTATATTAAAATTAAGACTCAATGCTAAGAACATTAGTCTTGAAATATCTGTGTATTTATATTTGTATAGAATCAAAAATATTAAAATACAAATATATTTTTTCTTGTTCAAAATATACAAATCACTAAAAATTATTGGAAGTAAAGGAGAAAGGCTTTACATAGCAAAATATCCAAATTGTCAATAAATATGTGAGCATTTAGTATACATAAATAGAAGATATAAAGTAAATGTGCTACGAAGTATCTCAATAATTGATTATTATAGCTCAAATAAAAAGGCATAGAACACCAAAAGTTCAGAAGAATAGACACCAGAGGATTTTTATGTACTTGCAGTTAGAGAATAACTAGATTTCATATCTCTTTGACACAGTTAACTAAAATTATGCATGTTGTACACATTAATGCCTCAGGTGAATATCAATATATATAT